AAAAAATAGAACGAGGGAAGGTAGGAGCTACATATTCCTCCTTTTTAAGTCAAAGGGTCAAAGATACTCGGGAGAACACATCCACCAATGTCCTTTATTTATTTATTTTATTATTCCAATTATTATTATTATTATGTGACGGGGTGAATGAATGAAGGAAGAGTTGTCAGAAAAGAGAAGGGAAGGTTTCAGAATTCTATAATGTGACCTGCATTTTTTACCCTTAAAATAAAGGGACCCTCTGCCCTGAACCCTGTTGGGGGCCTTGGGGCATTAACTAATTAAATCCCATTTTTAAATAGTGAGAGAGAGAGAGAGAGAGAGAGAGAGAGAAAGGGACATCTGGATTCCTCCCTTGCTAATGTTGCTTAGGGTTATAAGATTTGATAGAGCAAAGTACCTAACCCATCCTCTCTAAACTGATTTTTTCATCCTCAAAATGTTGCTAGGCCTCAGGCAAGGGGGAAAGGCTTTATATCTATTTACTAGAAAAAGGAACCTAATATCATCATCTTTTTCATTCTTTTTTGTCTTTTTAATGATCTTGAGACATGTGCTGAAATCAAATTCAGAGGCTTCATGATTGAACTCTCCCAAACTTAGTTGATAAAGGGGTGAACTAAGAATTACTCATGTGAAAATTTGTAAGATAGAAGAACATAAAAAACCCATTATTTTCAGTCCTTTGTTTACATTTAATGATATGCTTCCATGGGTTGAAAAAGGAAAAGGTTGAACTTGAATAAGTTGATATCTGCAAAAGAAAAAGGCAAAGGTGTGAACTTGTATTGATATAAATTATTAAGGCTGTTTTGGTAAAGAAAAAGTTTATAACACTACTTCTTTTGGTTAAAGATTAAGACATCATTATCAACATTTCTTAATCCTTTATTTACTAAATAATGCTAAGAATGGATAAGCATTCCAAGGTTCTCTCTACATAATAAGGTACAAATTTTGGGAAAATGTTAATTAGGGTGGATTTGATAGCACCGCTCACCAAATGGATAGGATATAATTTGGGCTATTTGGGATATTGATTGGACACTTGATATTTGATTAATGAACTTAGTGCAGTTTAGATGAGAGGTTTTATATCACTTTCCAAGGATAACAATGCCATAAGACCAGATGTAACATTCCAAAACAATTTTCCAAGTTGCTAGAGTCACGGAACCAAATTAAGATTTGTCTTTTACCAAATGATTTTGGCATACTAGACCTTAGCCCCTGGGTGTATTAAGATTAGAGCTTCTTTTATCTTCACCAAATGTTCCTAGGCTACAAAATCCAATGCTCAACCTTGGAAAGCAAATAATCCTAAGTCCTAACGCCATCCTGGGGGGAAATACCTTCGAGGATTCCAAGGTCTTTTTTCCAGACGTATTAAGAATTAAGGGCACTAAACTCAACCATTAAATGTACAAAAAACAAAAAGTAATTACCCTATCCACTCACTATAATTTTATTGTAGGCACGATGCCCTAGGGACAAGTTAAAGGGTCCCCTACCTCTTATGATAATTTTGATGAAAAGGGAACGGGTGGGTTGGGGGTGTCCTAGGCCGCTAGCAAGCAGTTCTTTCCATAAGCTTTTCCTTGGAAGAATTTAGCCTTCAAGCTAGGTGTACATTCTTTATATAAATGTGCCGTAATTAAAACAATGATGTGGGGCTGAGTAGGTTGTGGATTTGGACATGTATTCACATGAAATGTTCCCATTGTCACCTGGTCTATGTCCTTTTTGTAATTAAAGGCAATGGCATGGATGTCGTTGGCCAGGGCTCGGCTGGCCGGCCCTTGGATGGCTATAGATGTGAACTTGGTGACTTGGCCAACATTTTTTGACCAGGTTATCTTCATGGCAAGAAGAACCCCAAGAGGCAAGAGGGGCTCTTGACACACTTACCTCTTTCTTTTTGTTTTTATTTGGGTTCTTATCAGTATTTTATATATATAATTTTAAATTATTCAATTTCAATCATGAATTATTTAGATGAACCCAACACACATAATTTCATAGACTAATATTGTATACAATTAATTGTAAGAGATATACAATGGCTTGTGGGGTTGATTTGCAAATATGGGAATGTGCCCAACTTTAGAAGAAGCCATGGAATACGGCTTGAGATTGGCCTGAAATTGTGCTCGAAGAAGATAATGTCATTTGGGACTTGACTATACAAATACTTCGAATAGTAATTGCATTCCATGATGCAATTACCATATGAAAATTCTTCATTTTTTTTTTTTAGTCTGCCTCTTGAGTTGTCTTAATAAGTCAGGTGATTCCTCCTACCACATTGGATTTGATAAGGTACGACTGTCTCCAAAGTTGATCCTTAAAAGTACAAATTTACCTGGCAATGTATGATGATGTACCTCTTCAGTCTTCATAAATGAATGAAGATTATAAAATTGTTACCTATCTTCAATACTTTTGTCTCTTGTCTTCGTCATAAAAATTGACAGGGTTCTATGTCCATCACAGGGCAGAGCAGAGCAGAGGTCAAAATTTTAACCCCTCGGGTACCTGCAAGATTGCCTGATCTTCTCTTTTTCTGCCATTTTTTGTTTTCTTGCTTTCTAGCTGCAAACCTGGAATCCCTTTATGTTATCTCTCTTCTTGGAATCCCCTGTACCACTATGTCTTGCAAGTTCCAAAATACCATTATTTTGCACCCTAACAATAAAAATTAAGGAATGTGGAAGGAAATTCAAAAAAAAAAAAAAATCTTTAGAATGGAGGGAAATCTGGTTCAGAAATTTGAAAAAGGCTGGAAAATGTTGGTCAAGCCTGTAATTTAATGTCTTGTGGAATTTATATTGGCAGGACAATCCAAAATTTCATTCATGGCATATAAAGACCTTTGTCCGTATTCCCTCCTAGCTACTTCCATTCAATTCATCATAAAAAGTATCCAAACTTTTTTCAAACTTTCTCAACTAATCAGAGAATTTTTAGACCAAATCAGACATGGCCTAGACTTAGTCTTACATGTGCCTGTATAGAAAACAACAGCTCTTATTTAAAACTTGATTTTGTTGTGGAAATTCCATAGTGGGACATGACAATGGAGGGAATACTAAGTTGGACTTGTTCAAAAAAAATGGTGTTTGACTGAAATGGAGCAGGGATGATCTTCCATCTTTCTCATATGGGTCCCTTAGTTTGTCAACTTTTCCTCCAATCTTTGAAAGTTCTGGTCTGTAAATCTCTCTTCTTTGTTCAAAAGTTTCAGACATTAATATGTCTGTTTAGCTTTAAGGTCAATCATGGAATAGGACCCTTTGGAAGGAGAACTTCTTGAAGGTGGGATGGGCACAATTCAAAATTCTCAATTGCCCTTTAATGTGGGTCATGTAATTCATTGGAGGGCATGTACTTTGTTTGAGGATGGAATTATGGAAATCTCACCTACCAAAGATATTTGATTGCTTTCAAAAGCTTTGGCAATTGATGTTGATTCACCAGGAAACCTGGCAGGGGTTAGTTAAAGTGATTTATAAAGTTAATTGATACCAGCTTTTGTGATATTGAATATCCCAAAGCCAAGTTGTGAGCTAAATGAAAATGGATATAGGATTAGGATATGATGACCCCGATCAAGTAACCTCGTATCATATCATCAAGTTGGTTGAGAGGTTGAAGTGCTAATTAATTTGCCTGCCTACCATTTAACTTAACGTGTACATTATAACTTAACGTGTACATTATAACTTGGTGAATAAAGGAGTGAAGAGTACAGATTCTATTCCCTCTTTGCTTCTTCAATTACCTTCATTGAGCTAAAAGCAACTGTTTCTACCTACCTTTACCTTCTGTCTCCCACTCAAGAATTCATGACCACACCCCATTGGAATCTTGGTACTTTTGAGCTTCCAATTTCTATCATTTGCAACGATTGCCACACCTTATATTACTGTGGGTTTTGAGCTTTGAAGATTATAATAACATTTATGATTAGTCATAAAAGCTTGATGGCTTAGTTAAGGTGAGAGTTTAGGTTCATAGTGTTCTCCTCTTGTATCCGTAAGAGGAAAAGATAATCATACTTTAACAAAGAGCAGCTTTCACGTATAAAACCTGAAATAATTGATCCGTAGCTGAGGGTGACAGGCTCCATCAAGTGGTCCCTAAAAGTTGCAGAGTGGGACTAACCTGCTATATTCACCATTTTACATTGTCGCCTCAGAAAATTAACACCTTTAATGACCCAAGAATTAAGTTCTTATCGACTACTGCTATTTTCCATTGTTTGGTTAAAATTTCAGAGCGGGGCTAATGAATACTAATATTACAGCAAAAA